GATCTTATACGTGCCACTGAAATAAGATTATATAATAGTATCCATCCAATCAAGTTAAAGCATTGCCAGAATAATTAAAAATAAAGATCGGCAAATACATCTCAATGTCCGGAAATCGCAGATCAAAAGTAGCACATGCAAGTAGTCCCAAGTTTACGAATTACTTACTTACTTACGCCTGGTACTCCTAATGGAGCATAGGCCGCCGACCAGCATTCTCCAACCCACTCTGCCCTCCGCCTTCTTTTCTAGTTCCATCCAATTATTGTTCATTTTTCTCATGTCTATTTTCATTTCCCGGCGTAATATGTTCTTTGGTCTTCCTCTCCTCCTTTGGCCTTCAGGATTCCATGTGAGGTCTTGTCTTGTGACGCAGTTGGGCGCTTTCCTCAATGTGTCCTATCCACTTCCAGCGCTTCTTCTTGATTTCCTTCTCCACTAGGATCTGGTTTGTTCTCTCCAACAGTACGTTGTTGCTAATAATGTCCGGCCAACGGATCCGAAGTATTTTGCGTAGACACCTGTTAACAAACACCTGTATTTTCTGGATGATGGCTTTCGTAATTCTCCAGGTTCCTGCCCCATACAGTAGAACTGTCTTGACATTTGTATTGAAAATCCTGACCTTGGTGTTGGTTGACAGTTGCTTTGAGTTCCAGATGTTCCTCAGTTGTAAATATGCTGCTCTTGATTTACCGATGCGCGCCTTCACATCCGCATCAGATCCACCCTGTTCATCAATTATGCTGCCCAAATATGTAAAGGTTTTTACATTTTCAAAATCGTCTCCGTCAATTGTGATTGGATTGGTGCATGCTGTGTTGCATCGGAGAACCTTGCTCTTCCCATTGTGTATATTAAGACCTATTGTTGCTGAGGCTGCTGCTACACTGGTCGTCTTCTCCTGCATTTGTTGTTGCATTTGGGATAGAAGGGCCAGATCATTCGCGAAGTCTAGATCGTCCAATTGCATCTTAGATGTCCATTGTATCCCGTGTTTCCCTTCAGATGTTGACGTCTTCATGATTCAGTCGATCACGAGGAGAAAGAGAAAGGGTGAGAGTAAGCAACCTTGCCTGACACCAGTCTTCACTTCAAACGACTTTGTCAACTGTCATCCATGCACGATTTTGCAGTTTAATCCATCATATGAATTCTGTATGATATTGACTATCTTCTGAGGCACGCCGTAGTGTCCAAGAAGCTTCCATAGTGTTGACCTGTCTACGGTGTCAAATGCTTTTTCGCAGTCAATGAAGTTGATGCAGAGTGATGAATTCCATTCAATTGATTGTTCTACAATGATCTGTAGAGTTTCAATTTGGTCTGTACACGATCTATCCTTACGGAATCCTGCCTATTGGTCACGAAGTTAGGCGTCTACGGAGTCCTTCATCCTGTTTAACAATACCCTGTTGAAGACGTTTCCCTGTATTAAGAGAAGAGTGATGCCCCTGTAGTTATCACAGTTGCTGAGATCGCCTTTCTTCGGTATTTTGATCAGAAGTCCTTCTTTCCAGTCTGTTGGTACCTTTTCCTCATCCGAAATCTTATTGAAGAGAATGTGGCGTATCCTTGCAGTTGCCGCTACGTCTGCTTTTAGTGCCTCTGCTGGAATGTTGTCTGGTCCTGCTGCTTTGTCACTCTTGATTTGTCTGATGGCTATATCGAGCTCTTCAATTGTTGGTGGGCCAACATTGATTGGGAGGTCTGTGGATTCTGCTTCGATGTTGGATGGGTTCAGTGGGGCTGGTCGATTCAAGAGTTCTTTGAAGTGTTCTACTCCCTTGTTTTGTTGCTCTTCAATGTTGGTGATTACCTCGCCTTCCTTGCTTTTCACTGGTCGTTCTGGTTTGCGGCGATTTCCAGAGAGTTTCATTGTCGTGTCATACAGTTGTCTCATGTTTCCTTCTCTTGCTGCCTTTTCCGCCGTCGTTGCTAAACCTTCCACATATTTACGTTTGTCGGTTCTGATGCTTCTCTTCACTTGTTTGTTTACTTCTGTGTATTCAGCTTGAGCCTTGGCTTTTTCTGCTCTTGTTCCTCCTTTCTTGAATCTTATCCAGTGTGTCAACAGTGATCCATTCCTTGTGATGGTGCTTCTTGTGACCCAGGACTTCATGACATGTTGAAGTGATTGCCTCTTTGATCCCCTTCCAGTTGCTCTCCACAGTAGTTCCTTCTCCATTGAGTAGATAATGAAAGGCCTGGAACTATCCTGAATTTGTTGAGTTTGTCAGTATCCTGAAGAAAGGCCGTATTGAACTTTTGTGATATTGTCCGCCACATTGTCCAGTGTTTCTTGAGTTTCAATTTCATCTTGACGACCAGCAAGTGATGATCTGAGGCTATATCAGCTCCTCTCTTGGTTCTCACGTCCTTCTGAACGTTTTGTTGATGCAAATATGGTCGATTTGGTTTTGCGAGGTGAGATCCAGTGAAGTTCATGTGGTTTTGTGAATGCGTTTGTGTGGGAATATAGTGCCACCTATGACCAGTTTATTGAAGGCACATAGGTTTGCAAATCTCTCACCATTTTCGTTCTTTTCTCCCAGTCCTTGTCGTCCCATGATGTCTTCATATCCAGTGTTGTCTGTTCCAACCTTGGCATTGAAGTTTCCCATCAAAATGGTCAGGTCCATTGTTGGGCACTTCTCGATGATTGACTGCAGCCTATCGTAGAATTGATCTTTAGCGTCTTCATTGTAATCGTTGGTAGACGCATAGCATTGGATGATGTTCGTTGAAATGCCCTCTTTCTTTGTTTTGAAGGAGGCTTTGATGATCCTTGGTCCATGAGATTCACATCCTGTAAGTGCATTTGGTGTTTGTTTGGACAGCATGTACCTAAATAAATGGTCGCTCTGGTTGTCAGAGGGGGCATCGGCCTCGTAACTTCCGAAGGAATTCGGCTTTCATTATGAGGCGTCTTAGTTCTTCTAAATGAAGACCTTCTGACTTCCGGGACAGAGTTTAAAAGGTTTGAATAAGTTTTTCTGGTTAGCGAGTTAGTTTTCTACGGGATGGGGACGCTAACCCCATGCCCAACCCTCCTCCTTTATCCGGGCTTGAGACCGACTGTAGCCCCCGGAGGGACTCCAGGCGGAGTTCCAAGTTTACGAAGTATATTAAAAACGCCGTTAAAGGTTGGCTTATTTATTGACATGTAAATGACACTATATAACCATACCAGCTACATTTATAAAGAAATATTCCGCTTCTTTTACTGATTACAGTTGCCTGATCCATAGTAAATTTTACTTTCTGTTAAACAAGTTTATAATAAAAATGACTCGTTCAGATATGTCTGTAAGCAGGTCGTGTGTTATTATAATGAATTCATACATGGATACACGAGTTTGTCATGTCGACTTACCATGTCTTATTAATATTGCATCATATAAACAAATATACACAACCACGTAATTTATAACAATACAAACATGGATAATTAAGCAGGCGCCATTAGAAAAAATCATAACGAAGTCAGCTCAGAAATACTTTAAATTATTGTGTAATACAATCTTTGGTTTTCTAATCGACTAACAATTTCTATTTTTCTAGAGATTTAGTACATGTCCGTAGGTTTTTAGGACATCTACTTTTCAATGTTTTGTATCTTTGTGGTAACAAATATTTTCGTACATGTTATAGTTCATTTAATGGGCGAAAACACAATTTTCACTAAGGTTTTCATTGTAAGCTCTAAATTTCGCTTTATTTGCTTCTTCATATGGTTAACTGGCATTCATAAAAATAGCATAGTCATGCAATACGAATGTAGATAGATCAAGAACAAACAACATGAGCCAATCAGAAGCGTCGAAGGAATTTCAAGGCCACGGCGCCAATTGCAGTCTGACGCTCTTGTACGAACAGCCAGGACGTTAAGCCATCGGTTCTCGCGCACGTGTTACACATTGTTGGACATCTTGGGTCTCGTTATCAGCTATTAACAGCATTTTTTCCGTATTACGTCAATTTTTGTACTTGTTACATGATTTTTAGTTCAGTTTATTAGTGGTTTGATTTGTTGCTTACAACCTGGGCGAATGTTTAGTCAGAGTAGTGTGGTTCACAGCGAATTTTGGAGAAAATGTGATAATTGAGCGACTACAACAAACGGGACTACTAAAATGTTCCTGTTTGCGATTATGGTAATCAAATGACTTGTATAGACTACCGTGATGTTATCTTTTGATGTAATATGTGTTGGATGAAGAAGTCGGCTAGAATAGGATTTCTTCCGCTCTACCCAGATTGGGACTCAGGCAAATTATGACAGTTGTTGCGAACTGGATAATAGAAGCACCAGTAACACTGACTACAGCTGGGTACTACAATATGTACGGTTGTTTGGAAGACGTATAGATGGATACATAGATTTATGTGCATCGTGTCGTTATCCACATGTGGCATTTTATGGACCCAACTACCGGGGTGAACACAAAAGGTAATGAAGCTATGTGGGCGAGGCTGAGAGTTTTCGCGACTTTATCATGAATGATTTCCTCGACTGTATTCGTTACGATTTTAGAACCCCATTCTAACATTGACAAGTTTTTGAACCATGTAAATGTAGCGTATCTACTTTAATTATTTGGTTTTGTATAATAGTTTTTCTCTATACTTACTGTTTCCTTATTGGCTAACATTTCCTAAGGTCACGTAAGATTCGTTCAAAGGTCGTCCATAAATTATAGTCGCCGTATAAACATTAGGCAGGTGAAAACATCTGTTGAAAAGAGATTGAACAAATAGTACTATTTCCTATTAACAAAAAAATAAAGAACCTTCGACGATTCATAGGAAATGAATACAAACTGACTTATCTTCAGATCACATTAGTCCAATTATTGAACAATAAACCCGTCGAATTGTTTCAGATAATTCGATTATGTAATTTTTTAATGTGTTAATACGAACTGGTCTTAATAATTTTTCATTCCAGCATATTTTTTCCCAACTGTTCACTTAATGATACTAGAACATCAATATGTAATTGAAAAATTGTTAGTTGTAATTTACTTATCATCAATTAATAAGTTAATAGTAATGTACAGAAAACCGAAATAAATGGTTGAGCATTATGTCGATTTTTCGAGAATGTACTACAGCCAGGTTGGAAATTTCGATTAGTAAATGGAGAGAAATGAAAACTACGTTCTATTTTTTTATCACTACAAAAACACAAACCATTCTCATTTGTTCTCGTACAGACTACTAAAACAGCTTACGTAGTATGGAGAGAAAGTCTACATTTGCAGGGTGAAAACAATAAAGTATTAATTTAAGGTAGCTTTCATCACAAGTGTAAACGAAAACAACACCTAGGTCTAGGAATTATCAGTGACTTGTTCCAAATATCCCAGACCAATTAAATTTTATGAATTTAACATAGCAAATAAGTCACCCTCATTTCGTGAGAAAATCAAACGTCGGCTACGTTAGTTGAAGAACTAATAACAACGGATCGAAATATGTACAGAATTACGACCAAGTGATACAAGTAATCAATTTTTTAGTGATTGAATCGTTATCCAAAGTCTTGATTAGTATATTTTGGTCTGGACAACTTAAGATGGTTAAAATCAAATTAACTCAGTTGGATACAGTAGTTTCTACTTAAATGTACATTTTGACCAGAATACTGAACAGTCAATTTTAGTTAAGTACATTTCACGCTTCCCTTCCTTGTAGCTAACAGTGATAATATCTGAAAAGTTAATTTTTTGGTAAAGTTGAGATATCGTTAATTTGAAATTTACCTAATATGGTCATTCTTAAAATGGATAAAGTGATTATTATTATTATCATTGATTAGATGGTAACAAGGCAGTCAATTATAATTCGAATACTTGTGATACTATGATGTATCCAATACCAAGACTGATATTTTGATAAAAACTTAACGGAATCTTGATTCTATTAGTATTTCAGGAAGAAACATGTGTGGTCAGTTGCACGGTCGTTAGGATTGATGGTTGAATAAAGAGATAAACAATTATAGGATAAACATTAATCAAATTAGAGAATAAATTGTATGTTTAAACTTTTAAACGTACCTTGCTAGTGTGAAAAACATCTTAAAAGGTCTAAACATTCATAACTGTAAAGATAAAAGATTTGTGTACGTATACAACATCATATCTGAATCAAATCAAACATGACAACAACATTTTGAAAACAAAAGAAAGAAAGTAAGTAAACAACAATTGCATGAGAACATAATACACAGAATATCTGAAGGTAGTTAATATCTGAGATGTAAAGAAATGGTAGATCTTAATCATAATAACAGTAAATTAAAACGAGTATAAAGAAGTGATAGAAGAGATTGGCTAAATACTACCTCTTAAAATACACCAACAGATTATAATGACTTATCAAACATAATAACCATGATTAATACTGGAGACAATAATTGTAATAATAAAGAATAAAAGATACATTAGAGAGTCATTATATGAAGCAACAATAGAATTATTCATTCAATAAACGAAGTTGATCTAAGCATAAATGGAAGGCTTTCATCATATATCTGAAAGATAAAAAATAATAACAGGATGACATTAGCAATAATAAAAATAAATTTATTGTGGGATTTTTTTAATATAACTAATCGATCAGTTCGATTAAATTGTAAACTGTAAAGGTAGTCTAAATTTACTTGGTATTTTTCACTTGAATCTTCCTATTGATGTTTAGGACTACAATTGATCAGTCTCGTATTGAAGCGAACGGTATTGCATTCGAGTATCAGAGTGAGATGCAGGTATATCCAGCTGACGAGTTCCGAATTGAACGAAACGCGTGTCCTGGAGTCCACTGCTAGTCACTATCCATCTTTTCTAATAGTGTTATGGCAGTCGTTATTTTTTCCAAGGAAATAGTCCATAAAAAGTCAGTGGAAATAATGTGTAACAAGATAAATTAAATGGGAAAAAGCAAGTTTGAGAAAAATCTACTAGTAATCTGCTATAATTCTCTCTTATTATAGCCCAGCTAATCCCATTGTTTAGTAATCTTGGATACCAATTCAATCGACAAGTCCCCAAACCAGAACACAGTTGAATACGCACGAAATTATATCCCAAATAACTAGGGTAGATTGAAGTAGGAAGCAAAATAAGAGAAACTTTAGTGTTTTCATAGATTTTACATGAGAAGTTTCTAGAGTCTTGTCCAAATATCGGCTAGCGCTGATTGGATAAGAAATAGTCAATCAGCTTGCACCAACACAAACCTGCACAGGACATGTTAAAATAATCTATGTTCCCGACAACACAATCAAAAGTTCCGGAAATATGGTAGAGTCATCGAGTGAACGATAATGCCAAAACAGATGGATAGAACTAAGGGTGAACATGAGAAGATGACGGAGCTGTAAATATGCATCAATAAACGTTCCTTAGAGAATGAGTTCAACAGATTACGTTTGGTGAAGTTATCTATGCCGATTTGAAATAGGAGTCTGTGTTGATAAAGATAAGCCTAAACAGATAAATGTTCGTCATACAGTAGCAAGTTTGAACGTATAAGTAATTGATTTCCAAACTATATTATAGTATGCAGTGAGTCAAGACTGACAAGCGAATAATTAACAAGGTCAAAACATGACTCAAGTAGAATGAACAGAATGGAATGTCCGGAAACTAAAATAAGATATATTATGAGCTAAAACTAATGACTAACACTACAAGTCATATGAATCACACAAAGGTTGTAAATACACCAAAGAAATATTTGTTAAGCAATAAGCCAAAACAAAGTGATGAACTATGGGGAAACGTGCACTTCAGAATTGAGTCGATAATTTTCATGATCATACTGAAAATTTTGACAACTATAAACTTCACTTGTAAATAAGGCATGATTCTCTCTGTAATCCATATTAAGGATTAAAACATGTACGGTAAAAACTTAAAATGATTCAAGAGATATATTGAGCAGCTCCATGTAGAATGATCTATTTGTAGTCAACGAAACATCATGAGAATTATACCTAAAAACTCTAACAAATTAAATTTGAATTATATCAGAGAAGGTTTTTGTGGATATTATAGTAATTTCAATAGTTCAGATCACGAGTCAATTGAAGCTAGATCACCATGAAAAACCTGGAAGCACTGGACGACAATTTCATCCTATTGTGGGACACCTCAGCGCGAGAACGCTGAACCTCTAAACCAATAAGTCGATAAGTCATGGCTTCGAATCTCGCGAAACAGGATCGTGGATAAGCACTGCTGAAAATTCCCACAATAGAACGAAATTGTCGTCCAGTGCTAACAGGTTTTCTATGGTGATCAAGCTTCAATTGACTCATGATCTCAACTATTAAATTCGATCTGATGAAATCTTTATAAGTAATAAATAAAACAGAAGGAGAACACGGAACTCATCTATAAGTCTATCACTTCTACATGTAATTAACTTTGTTACACATATTGTTCGTAAGATGAGACAAATCAAGAACCAGAACCAGCATACATATATTGTCATAAATAGTAACAAATTCTTGTTCTTCTAACAAACACATCTCTTCCAATTTGTTATTAATTAATGTTACTATCAATTGTCGTGCTTCTCGTTCTATTTCTTCCATCACATGAATTCATTGTCATAGTTATACAGTTATTCTTTTTTCATTTTAGATAATAGTTAAATTAACATTTTACTTATATTACACTGTGTATAGTGTATCTAACAAAAAACTAATCGGTAATCTATAGTTGTTAGTTTTCATTCGAGAATTGATTGAAATGCGGTGGTGAGATTTTGTCCACTTCTATTCATCGATTTTTCTTGACCTTAATCACTTTACCTAGTCTACAACAACAACAACTACTACTATGGTTGTGTAACAGTTGGAGAGACTAGGAAAAAATCTCTTAATTGTATTGATTATCTCAGTCTTAACCAAATATAAAAATGTCCACACGAACCGGTTCATACACTAGATATATATGTGTGTGCATAATTATTCATTTAACCATTTGTTTACACGACTGTATAGGTAGTCATATCTGTTCAACTGTTTCGTTTTAAAGAAATAGTGTATAGACAAACACATACACAAGGCGGATTTTTAACTCCAGTATAACAAGAAGAAATTTGTTGCAGAATAATTTTATTAAAAGATAGTTTAATTGAGATATACGACTAACCCAACTATATGGACATCAGACAGACAAAAATCACCAACATACATCTCTCCACAGATGTGTTGGCTCAAATTGCAATACTACATTAGGACGACGAGATGAAAGTACAAAAACGAGATTGAAATAATATAGTCGCAGATAAATAAAAACTAAACCTTAGGAATATGGTTTGAAAAAACAAAGTGGAAAGGTATGTATGAAAGGATACTCGAATTCAAGATCAAGAGGAAGACAAATAATGAATGTGCCTGCCGCATTGTGAACGGTTCCAAGCTGTCATGCCGTCCACCAATCACTTATAGATGTTATCACGTGAACCATAACGGGTAGTGAGTAAAAACTTGTATGGTTCGGATCAAAACTCAATGACTTTATGAACGGATGCGACGTTTTGGTTTGTACTCTCTTAGCTTCCTTTCAACTTAATCCTGCACTAACAAGCATCGGCTGTTGATGTAGGGACAGTAGTTAGGCATACACATGTCCTAACTACTTCAGTCGATGAAGATTAGCGACCTCATTACCGATTTGCATTATCTAAACATGAAGAATAGGTCTTGGTCAAAGAAACATATATTAGTACACATATATAGCATTTCGGTAACGACTAGATGTTTTATGTGGAGCATGAATGCTATTATATGAGATATGAAGGGATGTTGTCATATCCTAGTGATCATGATGACGGTGAGACTTTTGAACACGAGATACTTCATGGGATCAAAAGAAAAATATTTATTTGGTTAGTGCATTTAATAACTATCTTAAGTGGATTTGCATTTCATTATTCCAAATATTCAACTACCAACTACATAATCTTGGGTTCGAACCTATCAAATCTATTTGAGTTGGTTTGGGTGAGTTATATCATTAGTTCCAGTATGAGGGATGTTGTTTAAATTCAACTCAACTGACAAATCGACAGTTCATATTAATTTATCCACAACTTTTAAAAATCTGCTAAAAATTGTAGTTAGGTTGAGGTGTTAATGGATAAGAAAATTCAGATAAAGTTAGCTAAATAATTGCATATATTTCAAGATTTTCTATTGTGTTTAGTGTAACGCTTAGAATAGTAGATAAAAAAGTAATGAAATAACATGTGGACTATAACTACTATCTATTTCAACCAATAACTAGCAAATACAGTGGCGGATGAGGGGGAAGAGAATATAAAACTTCCTTGTTAGAGTTCACATGATTTTACATACACAATTTAATGGATGATTATTGATTATAGGCAAACAACGTATCCCAAAAATTGATAATGTAACCTAACTTTCATCATATCTACTTTTTTCTTCTACTTGTTTAATTTCTTTATTTTGATATCAATTTATTGTATGAAACCAATGGTTGGAGACTCTGGATGACACGGCTTAGAATCGATCACAATGGCGTAGGTGTACACACTCTGTCTTCCCTTGAACTATGAGATTAAAATCGCTTCATATTTTTCTTTCTACAAACTAATTCTTTCTTCCTTATACACAATCTTTCTTTTATATATTACCACTATTGAATTAAATACTTCTATGAATACGGTGTTGATCTTGTGGTGCTAATGAGGTATGGCAACTTGGACCGATGCATATATGTGCCCGATCCTATGTTGTAGCTGAATGACTGACTGAGTCTGTAAGATCGGAAAGTGAAGTATCAAATTTTAAAAGATACTTTTACTTAATTCAGAGATAATCTATTGAGAATTATTTATTGTCAATAAATTTTAATACTATGAGACATATGTTATGCAACGATGAGAAAAGTTAAACATCTTGTTATAATATAGCTTTATGTATTCATATGATACATTGTTTGTTTTACATGTATCCACTCTTACAGTCTATCTAACTGACCATACAATAATGTGATTATATAAAAATATTGTAAATTTAGAACAACATATATAAGCGAACAATATTGTTTTCGATTAGATCCTCATCAGGCTTTACTCTAATATACAGTAATATTTATATGCATATACAAAATTATATAAAAATAAGCATAATATTGAACATACTCATGTTTGAGATCCAATAACTTTTTCAACTCTACATCCGAATAGCTATCATCATACAAAGAACTGAACTTAGATGAATTCTTTGAATGAAAGTAAGTTTGATTTGTCGGAAAGTTGTCAACTTTTTTTGATTTATGATGTAAACATATTGCAGAATTCATACAATTGCTATGAGTATTTTGAATTACTTCTGAACAAGGAGTAATGTATTTTTCCAGTAGTTGATCGATACGATCAATTGCTTTAACTAATAAAGACTCTAAATGCAAATGGTTCTCATGCACATTAAGTGGATTATTTTTTAATATACTATTATTGTTGTTGTCATTTACTTGACTGTTGTTCATAGGTTCAATAATATTTAAACTTTTTGATGTGACCAATTGAACTAAACCAGCCAATGCTTCAGCTTCCGAATGTGCACGAAAATAAATAGACCTGTAAAACAGAGAGACAAAGAAAAGCCTATTATATAATGAGATCATACCGATTCAAATTACGAATAGGTATGACCAAGACATACCGCAAAACTAAACACTAAACCGTAATTTTAATAGGGTCGAATTGTTCGAAGACAGAATGTCATAAAACTTTAAATCAACAAGGTGTACAATATGATAACAAGCGGCAGTTATATAGTTACATTTCATATAGATTTTGTCAACATAACAACCCATTATTCACTATTTTCTGGTTTTTATGAAATCGATTTCCTCATAAAAATCTTCAATTTATTAACTGAAAGCAAACAATTGACTCAACTTCGTTATGTCATTATAATCCGTTAGCTAGCAGGTACAATTTGAAGTAGTGTTCAAATAAAGAAATATAAGACAATTAGACGTCTTGTTACTATTGAGTAGTTAACAATAACAATTATACAACACTGATCAGACAACGTGAGTCTATATATATATACTCAGTTATTGATTTTATTTACCCATAACTAGTCGATCTGTCTGGATACACATTTAATTCGATCGGTCTGTTGGTAATGTCCGAGGATTATAAATAACATATAGTAGTGTGATAAGCGTAGTCAAAATCATAGTTTCAGCTAATCTTAAATTCTGAGTACTGAATGAGTTCCTTGAAAACAAAGCAAATAATATGATGAGATAGCATGGATGCAGTTAATACAAAATGAACAATTTTAGACTTGTAAAAGTGATACTGATTAAAGTTATTCATTAAAAACCAATTAATTGATACATCTTTTAACTACCTCTTAATTTATGCCTTTGAAATGTTGTCATATTGTTTTCTGTGAATAATTTTTTTTTTCGTACTAATGTACTATCAGACTTATACTTTGTACAAAATTCCGAACCACTTTCTGCCAATAAACAGGAAGACTAAGTCATCACAGTTGAGAAAATGTTGTAAACATTTACTACCCATTCTATAATTATATTGTAATAACAATAATGAAAATAATGATCATTTACTCACCTTAAATAATTTAATCGTTTTTCAAGTATACAAGCGAAGTCATTAATTTCAGTTAAAATATCCGAAGTAGTTGGACAATGACCAGATATTTCATTTGAAACTTTTTCTGTATCAGATATTAAACTAGTTGATAAAAGTGAAGTTAATTCATCTAATGATCCATCATGTAATTCATTTTTATTTATTTTCTTATTATATTTAATATTCTCCTCATTCCAAGCTAATATACTACTTGTATGAATAGAATCATAACTATTATTGATTTTCTCATTAGATACAAGTTTGTTTAAAGATTTCTGAGAAGGATAGGAATTATTATGCTCTATAGGATAATTATGAGTTGTATTACGTGAATTTGGAAAAGTATGTAATTCAAGAAGACTTGAAGGAGGTGATGTATTAGATTGAAAAGGAACTGTTTGTGTAACTGTTAAACTACGACCACGACCACTACTTGAACTATCATGTTTATCACTAATTGACTTATGAATTAATTCAACAGAGGATGAAACACTTCTGTTATTGATATTATTTGAGGATGTAGAAAGATTCACTTTATGTTCATGTAATGACGACTGATCATCCAACACAGTAGATTCTGCGGAAATCTAATTAAGAGACAGAACAAAAAATTATTAGACAAAAGAAACGCACCTGTATGTCTAAATAAGAAACTCTGGAGAAGATGGACACAAAAATATAGGGGATTGCAGATGAGATAATGTTACTCATCTTTTGTTGTCCTGATATATTTAGTTGAGCATTATCGCATTTCATGTTCATATTTACAAGTTTATTGGTAGGGGCTTTTTTCTTTTATACATCTAAGCTTTATTTAACTTACAACTTCAATCAATCTACTTTTTTTCATAGTTGAAATAATATATTCTATAACAGTAATTTTCTATTTCGAAGACAAATTTATACATGTAGTAGCTGTGTAAATGATTCCTACAAGTTTCTTTTCATAATTATTATCTCGCCATTCTACTTCTATGCTAGTTTACATCCTGTTAACATGATAGGACTACAAACATTCCTTTTTCAAAAATATGAGATTATTATTTTCAGTTCGTAAGCAACAGAAGACAATTCTTAACATTTACGACTTCACAGAATTCAGTTACGATTGACGCTCTTTTCCCACTGAAATTTATAAGGAAAATAGTATAAAAATCTCGGTTGTTACATACGTTTTTCAAGATCTATTCTCGTTCAAGATAGAAATCGGTGAGAAAATTATTAGTTTAAGCACTTCAAAAATGCCCTTATTTTCTCATATCCAGTAAATTGAGAAGTCGAAATCCTATCGATGATAATGGGATAGGGAAACGAATTGTTTGAAATATTGATAGTTTATTAAGTCAACTGGACTGTTGAGTACAGTGTATCACACTTCGATAAGCCATAGTTGTTAAAAACATTCGAATAGGGCTTGTCAATGCAAGTTCACTAGATTAGTAGTTTGTACACATATGCGGTACTATGCCTACTAGCCACCACTAACTGCTCAAAGGTTAAAGATGATATCGCAAAAATGTCAGTCTACGTCAATGGATACTTTCTGATCTTATTATCTTCATCACAGAAAGACAGCGAACAAATTTAGTCGATTTTAAATAGAATTGTTCAAGATAATTCTGTTAAAAGCATTCTACTGTCACAAGATTAATTCAAAAGCAAATTACTTGAAGTGAAATTAAGACCAGACTCATTGTTTGGTTTGATGCTCGGTAGGGGAGAACACGACACTAATTAAACATTAAATGTTACGTCATATTTTGTTGTAATTCATAACTCAACCCCAGATACTTGGAAGTTTGTTCAGGTTGGATATTTCAAGATAGTTTGAGGTGTACGAAAGTTTAACTTAGATAAAGCAGAAAACTTTGGCAACAATCACGCTACTGAGCACTATCTCTTGTCTGAATTGTCAGAGACTGAATAGTACAACTTCGTTATAACCATCTAATAAGAGCCATTTAATTTAAGGATTCAATGTTTTACCGATAAACAAGACAGTAAAAAAAATAGTGCAACTTACAAAATTTCTACTTCCAAAATATTCCTTATTAGGTGAACGTGTCAAATGAGAGCCAGAATCTTTTAATTTCTTAAATTCATCAACTGGAGAACTAGGCATAAATTGTTGCATATTCACAGAATTCTCTAAACTAGGTAAAATATCTGCATCGGATAAATTAGAACTATGACAAAAAACAAAACAAAGGAAATTGTTGTAAAACACACGGAATAAGAAATAAGATTCAAATAAATAAATCAGCTATATATTCCATTTATATCAGAAGGGTTTTTGTGGGTATGATAGTAATTTCAATGTTTAGATTCACGAGTCAATTGAAGCTTGATTGCCACGGAAAACATGAAAGCACTGAACAATCGTTTCGTCCTATTGTGGGACTCCTCAGAAGTGCGCATGATGAATATAACGCATAATAACATTCATAATTACAAGAAAATCATAACAGATTATAATATTGAGAAAAGTCCTACTAATCATCTTATTGTGTAATTAACCTGGATACAAAAATTTTCTACAGCTGATATATACAGTATGCAACATAAACTTTTTGTTGTTGCTGGGGGAGAAAATCTAATAAATAAAAAAATTAACCAATCAAAATTTAGAATACAATGACCAATGAAAATTAATCTACGTAGAACATGATCATATCATAAAGATGATGAGAATTTTTTTTCTTTCGATCTCCATCGATTGTATTTCTATTGAAAATAAATGAGTTTCTTTGATCGAAACATGATAGGATGTAATCGATTTTTCTCTATAGTTCAGAATTAGAAACAAAACTCAATTGAATAGATAGTAGGTTCCAAAAAAAGGTTTCAGTATAAATTCTATCTATAAACATAAATAAATGTACTAGAACATTATAAACAATTCTATTGAATTATCTGTTCTACAAGGCATTCTAATACAATTAACTAAATTAATTTAGAACGTATATAGAACGATAGTAAACCAAGATATTGAAGTGATTGGTAACTATTAACTAGTGGGGATATATTTAACCCAATAATATATTTAAGTACAAGATATTGGGGGTTTTCAGCAACCATGATATTTTAGTTAATTTATTTGAACACATAAATATTGGTACAAAGGGGCACCGAATACATATGCGCCACACAAATCACTTGATTTGTGTGAGGGCTGTGATACTGTCTGGGTGCTCAGAATGAAAACGGTGATTTTCTTAAGGGGCCATACACAAAGCCTTAGACCTAAGGGTCTGATAACATGATTGAATCAGATGACAAGAACCATCTAAAACATTAGGTTGGCACATTTACTAAATGCCCGATGTTTCAGGAAAGGAATATGACAGTTATAAGCAAACTGATTTACGCCACGACAAAAAAACACAACTGTAGTAGGTAAAATGTTTGAATTTCAGCTAATGGATCACTGATTTCAATCCCGTCCTTATCCAAATTTAGTTTGGATAAACGGGTAATATTATTTTTACCTATGAATGAAGTTTAAAACTTATTGTACCTGAAATTAATGAACGTAATTTGGGGTATTAAATATTAAAGAGTAGACAATCTGTTTGACAATTAACATTATCGTTTACTTAAACGTTGCATCACAGTTAATATCCGATTTTAAAATTAAAAGCGAACAAGACAGAAAATAACGAAAATATCGGGAATAATAATTTATTCAAGACATAGAGGCAGATTTGTGTTCAAAGCAAAAGAAAATCAATTAAATGTGAGTAGAACACAGAAATAAAATGCTGAAACTGATTGTAGTGAACTTGGAATGCATCTCAGTGTAGATCGTGGCATAGTTGTTAAATTTGAAGGAAGCTATTTATGTACATTCACTTCAGTGACATTATTGTGAGACGTCAATGAAAATAATTTATTGTTCTCTAGTTCAGCTCAAAAATCTTGGTTCAAGGAGGTACCAAGTAATGAAGCATAAAAGAACTAAGAAAACAAGCCATCCAGTTAGATAAGCTTTAAAATCCAGCACAGAATGTTAAACTAATCTAAATGTTCTTGATAACACTTGGTATTACATCACTATCGAATTATGCGTTTCTAGAGAAATCATTCTAGGCTCGTTTATTTGTAATGATACTTACGACAAGGTATAAAATCAAATAAGGTTAGCTTACTGTACGATTTCTAGATATCCATTCATTGCATTTGGTGTTGCTGGAGGTGAAGTGTCTGTATGTACCTCTAAGAAATTGGAAAGACACGAAGCAACAGGATAACTTGGTTTCACGTTCTCCGATTGGACTGCAAATAAATTTGATTTTTGTAGTAATGAATTGACATTATCAACGGGTGGATAAGGGTTTCTAGTTTGGAAAGATGCTGGAGTCCGCTTCACTGGTGTACTTTGATCAACAGACCGATCAGATTGGTGAAAGGATGTAGAAAACATGGGTGCACAAGTCACACTATGACGTGGTAATTCAGGAGAAGTAGACAACTGGCATTCTAAAAGGTTTATTTCAATTAGAGTAAACAAATAAATAAACGAAATATACGGTAAAATATTGACACTGTTAAGGTTTTCTTATGTACAGAAGTTAAATAGAATTAAAAATATAATTCAATAAACACGTAAATAGAAGGGTGAAATACTAATCGATATGCCGTATCAGTGATGTAGCTGTTAAACCCTTAAAAGTTAGGCGGGTTTTAATCTCATCACTTATTGACTAAAATATATGATCTGAAAGCTAGTGTTCGGAAATCAAATGAAATTTTATGGTAGCTGGTGAAGTACGATATTTGCCCACTTCGGATCCTAAAGACTATATAATTAGGAATCAGGGTTTTAAAACACTCATAAATCGATTGTTTTTACCCACTACCCTAGTATCCAACTTTCCGTTTCTGTAAAAACACCATGACATAAATATAGTGGGCAAAACATACCCAAGACTACATACGCCAGTAAGTATGGAGGCATTCTGACTGTTAAAGGTTGAATATATGTATCGGGAAGAGTAACCTCTCTCCATCCTTGTTAAACGTAATCTTTTCAACTTGAGGACTCTGATAATCTCTGTTCATGAAGAATTGCAACACTGTAAATAGTTTTGGGATCAGGTAATATTTTAGGTGTAATGGTAGTAAAGTTGATTTGACGATCATGTAACGCCGGCTTAAACGACTTGAACATGTTTTATGAATACAAATCCAACAGCTTTCCAAATACTCATTATTTCCCGATGATAGGGTAGAAAAGAATGGAGGTGATCAATTTATGTCAGTGTATTATGGAATGAAGGATAGTTGTGCGTGACAATTGACCAAATGGGTGGATTCCTAGAGATCACGCAATTGATTGGCATAGGAAGTTATCATATATGGTTCAGAACAGAATCTAATAGAGATCCTGGTATGATTTATTTATAAAAGTTAGAGGAACCTAGTAAGCATAAGTACACTTTTCTTAGTTGTACATTTTAAAAGTTCATTAATTTATTGCTCGTATGATTTCCTTTTTTTTCTATTTTATTTCCAATAGTATCATTCTGTTTACTTTGGAGTTATTCTATGACTTCTAATTGTACCAAAAACCTCATATTACAAATGAAAAAACCGTTTTAGTGACGGTTTTCTGAATATTTTGTTTGAACTTTCGCTCATTATACATTTTGGTATTCAGTAATAAATGGATAATTATTTATATTCAAACTGGATGATTTCATCTCATTCACTTGCCATATATATATTCATTTTTAAATTTCACAGTCAAACGACAGTTAAATATTAGTAAATGCAGTCGAACAACTATCTATACAGTCATGTGAACACACACATATCTAGTGTATGAACCGGTTCCTGTGGACATTTTTATATTTGGTTAAGACTGAGATAATCAATACAATTAAGAGATTTTTTCCTAGTCTCTCCAACTGTTACACAACCATAGTAGTAGTTGTTGTTGTTGTAGACTAGGTAAAGTGATTAAAGTCAAGAAAAATCGATGAATAGGAGTGGACAAAATCTCACCACCGCATTTCAATCAATTCTCGAATGAAAACTAACAACTATAGATTACCGATTAGTTTTTTGTTAGATACACTATACACAGTGTAATATAAGTAAAATGTTAATTTAACTATTATCTAAAATGAAAAAAGAATAACTGTATAACTATGACAATGAATTCATGTGATGGAAGAAGTAGAACGAGAAGCACGACAATTGATAGTAACATTAATTAATAACAAATTGGAAGAGATGTGTTTGTTAGAAGAACAAGAAGTTGTTACTATTTATGACAATATATGTATGCTGGTTCTGGTTCTTGATTTGTCTCATCTTACGAACAATATGTGTAACAAAGTTAATTACATGTAGAAGTGATAGACTTATAGATGAGTTTCGTGTTCTCCTTCTGTTGTTGTTGTTTCCTTTTAAAAACAATCTAGTTTGATCTCTTGTATTTCACTTAATCTTTATTTCTGTTTCTCTAACTGTTTTATTTATTACTTATAAAGATTTCATCAGATCGAATTTAATAGTTGAGATCATGAGTCAATTGAAGCTTGATCTCCATGGAAAACCTGTGAGCACTGGATGACAATTTCGTTCTATTGTGGGACTTTTCAGCAGTGCTTATCCACGATCCTGTTTCGCGAGATTCGAAGCCAAGATTTATCGACTTATTGGTTTAGAGGTTCAGCGTTCTCGCGCTGAGGTGTCCCACAATAGGATGAAATTGTCATCCAGTTCTTCCAGGTTTTTCATGGTGATCTAGCTTTAATTGACTCATGATCACAACTATTAAATTTAAGTTGAATAAATCTTGTACAAAGAACAAGATGTTGTTACTATTTATGGCAATATGTTTATGGTTTAACTATTTCACTGGGTACATAAACGTATAACATTGAATTATATTTCCTCATATTGAAAACTTATTAAATGAGCTTAGAAAACTAGTTTTCGATATTCGCTGTTCATTTATGCATGGATCGAGACCCAAATATATGAACCAAGTGTTCACATATATCCTTTAGTACATCATTTTCGACTGATCAAAGACTAAATGTTTTTGACAGCATATTCTACAGTTTAAACACGCTCTATAACAAAAATGACTATTGCTGAAACGTTTTTTGTAAACATTAAGTTTTTAGTGCAACACAAATAAAGTACGTTGCACGATTTTACACACATGAGAAGAGATGCATCCGAAACATACTTGTTTAAAAAGATCAGAAGACAGTATTTTATCAACGTCATCACGAAACAGAGCTATATCGCCTGCATGTTCTACATTAAAAAACGAACCCACAGCAAGGAGATTAACCTTTGAGTTATAAAAGTGTTATCTGTAAATGTATGTCTATGACGAGGTTAAATAAAGGGGAATAGTGGACAGTGCCGGTGAACATCACTTGAAGTTTAGAATTCCGATGATAGTTCGTTATAAGCTCTGACTTGAAAACGAGTAGTAAACAGCCTTCAAAATGCTAATGCACTTCATTGATACACTCTTCAATGGTAAGCATTGGCACCGTTCGTTTTCATTGGAATTGTAAAAAAACTCATTGGATTGCGCAAATTATGTGCAAAAATGGACAAAACATTTAAATAATTGTCCATTAGGTTCATTGATCAACATAAAATATTATTAACTTCTGTTGATATCTAATTTCCAATGAGTATCATACGCTTTGTTTCACGAGAATTCGACTCACATCATTTGAGAAACGAGTTTTTCAATAATTACTGATTCAAATTTTTAAATTGTGTGGGTATAGTTAGACCAGGTACTTTAAAGCCTAGATCCTATATGCCTGGTTCACAAGGATGCAATTAACATTTCTACAAATATCCAGGATTTTCCCTTGTATTATCGTCGGTTGTGAATAAACCTTATTTTTTTAGTAGTTGTGGGTTGTATAAAAAGTCACTGTGGCTATAGCGCACGTCCAGTTCAAGGTTATTTGGGTTGCTTCTATTTACTTATCGATTTGGACAGCTAGGGACAGGTCATAATAATCAGCTATGTTGTATATGAGCGTATGTCAAAAAGGAAAGTGGATCAAACTGCGTTTATGAAGTACAGGTTACTGTGACGACCACTAAACTACTTTTGTGTAGTACCTGAACACAATACCTCAACTATGTAATCTTAAGTCCATAATGCTGGATTGTGATTACTTATAGTCAGGGGTACAGACAAGAGAATTAAGACTTCACATTCAAATTATTTGAAAGTCAGGCATATCGTTTTATTGAAATCATTATTATCAACGTGTCAAAACTTGAAATTTATCCACAAAATCAAACTCCAGTGAGACTAAAAATTTCTACACAAAGTGATCATATTAATTTATTAGTTTGCATAAACAATATGAGACCATCCTATATCGGTATGAAAATAAAAAATAACCGGTAAGGAACAAGATGATAAGGCAAGAGAGTGTTTTATCGGAAGTAAATTAAATGAATGGTGACTTCTGAGAATTATTTATAGGCTGTTATTATGCATATTCATATTGTATAACTATTAGGTAACTAGATTATATATGTGTATGCTACTTATGCTGACAGATTAAAGTAGTATGTAGCACCAGTCGGAAGTGAAATGCCTGGCAGCAGAAGATTGAAATGAAGAGAATAGGAAGGAAATAAGAGAGCAGTATAAATTGTTATTAGTATTGTAGTTGAAGATTTGGAAAGTATGGAATGAATTCAGTAAACGAGCCTCCTCAATCTTACTGTATCGGTTATGGTAAACAAACTCCTCCCCTTGAAATACAAATCCCCATGGGATACATTTGACTTAACAGCTTTGAAATTGGAGGACCTTACATTATGGCGTATAGTAATTGATCAATTGGTGATCGATACCGATGGGATGTACGAGTTCTCCTTGCAAATAAGATCATGAAGTGTCTCAAAGCTTTGTTTGTTAGACAGTACATCACCTGTGGTAACTATTACCGTGTAAGATTACTCAAAGTATGTTAAAAAAAGATATTATTTTGTGATTTCTCAGCATTATCACTTACTTTGGTGAATAAGAATTAATAGCAGTATTCTGCTCAATTTCAAATAGTTTTAGCTTTTTCGAAATTTAGAAGACAATAAGTAAGATTTGAATTGAATAGATAAACCACAAGAATGTTTTTCGTTTGTACTCCAGCCAACAGTTTTATCCATAAAGCTTAAGTCTTTATAAAAGTATTTAAGCCTAACTATATATCTTTGAGCTGATTGTGACAATCATTATTAGCAGGGTATAGATTATCAATAATGCACATTAGTAACCAAGTAATAGGTGGTTTATGATACTAACACTATGCTCAGACCAAAGTAGATGAGGCGTCTCAACATAAGAACAAATTGTTTAGGATCGAATAACTTCATAACTCAAAAACAGCTCCATGTACATTAAAAGGTTTTTGGAGCATGTAAGAGATAGATAAAAAAACTGCAGATTGTGGCTGAGTAACTGAAGTACACAAGTTCAGACCCGCAGGCGGGAGTCTAGAACATCCCACTTATTTACATTTGGGCAGTAAGGTAAAATTAACTATCAAATAAAGGTTCCCAAAGCTAAGTACATCGGTCCATTTTCCTCGACGAAGGTGCCTGGCACTACTTTGTTGTCCGCACCTTGAAAGAATAGTTTTTTTGAGACCTGGAAGAGTGATTTCAGTGTATGAGGCACTTCCATCAACCAGTTAGCTAAAACATAGGACCAGGCACATATATGCATCGGCCCAAGTTGCCATACCTCATTAGCACAGCAAGATGAACATCAAATTTATAGAAGTAGTTAACTCAATGGTAGTAATATATAAAAGAAAGATTGCATATAAGGACATAGTACAGGAAGAAATAATTAGTTCGTAGAAGGAAAGACATAAAGTAAGTTTAACTTCACGGTTTAAGGGAAGACAGAGAGTGTATACACTGACGCCATTGTCACGGAGAATCCCCAACTATTGGTTACAATGGTCGCGCGGACCACAATCAAGTAGTCTGCATCTACCAACATGACTCATACCAGAAGTGACTTTATGGGCTGGTTCCACGATTTAATTTGGCCGCCCCTAACTTTCTTCCATCCGTCTCCAGTACTAGTCAGAATTGTGTCGCGTCAACAGGTGTTCAGGCATACATGACACGTGGTACAACCATCTCAGTCAATGTAGATTCAAAACCTCATCAACTGACTAGCCATTATTGCCTAATACCCTGAGTTTAACTTCACTATCACTTACCCATTGATCCCAGCAGATCCAATAACATCTCAAGCTATTGAGGTGAACCACTTCTAGGACACTAACCTAGGAGTCGTGAAGGATAGACTGACGACAGTTCGGTACATCATTCTTCTATACCACAGCTCTATGTCATAAACCAATCATCTCTCCACTTTCATGCCATCTCAACGTCCGCAAATAATGAGACGTGGAAGTTGTTGGGATGATAGTCGTATTACACGTCTACGTCACTGAAACCGGTGTTTCCATATGATGATCCCAACTGAATAATTTTCAATCCAATCAAACACGAAACACTTAATCTCAGCATTACTAACATGGCTTTACGATTGAATGTCACCAATCGCTCGGAGATAACGATAACAGAGAGTGGCTGAACATCCTCGCCTCGAGAGCACCAGGTTTCACAAGTATAAACCTGAACCAATTTCATAGACCCGACCTTTTACAGTCAGACTAACATAGCTATGGCACTATAAATGTCACAGGTTGGCATACGCCGTCATGGCTTTCACTATACATGGAGTAATCTCATAGCTCACACAACCACTCAGATACATAAACGTTTCGGCTACTTCTAACGGCTCACCACTAAGAATGAGAATGCTCCTGTCAGTCTTGTACAAGTACTTAGCATTTAGAAGGTGAAAAATACATATCATACTCATGGACACTGATTTTCAAATGAATAAGTACATATTGCATAGCTTAAGTATTATCACACAGTAAGGTAATATTATCCACATACGCAAAGTCAAAAAGTCTTTCCCAGTGTAACAGATCCACACCGCCACTACCTGATCCTATCAAAGCTATTTTCAGAATGTCATCGATTACAAAGTTGAGTAGAAGTTCTTTTTAGACTTCCTCCTCATTAGATGAACCAGTCTTTACCGTTCATGAAGTACAGGACAGTCTGACCGATGTTGTAGGAGCAGACCAGTTGAAATGTTCCTCGAATAACTTTATTATTCGTTTACGATGTTGCTGATTGGCGCCCTATCAGCTTCACAGTTTGTTTCACATACCAAACTTCTTTTGCGAGTGGCTCGAATCAGTTGAAAGAGCCTAAGGGAGTTACCGAGTGTAGTTGATGTTTCTATTTTGCTTGCACGTCCCGATCACTAGACTTCCCGGTCCTTACACAAGCTCTTCATAATATCTTTACTTAAGAATATCTACCTGTCATCTAACTCGCAGTTACCCGAGACAGACCATCATACCTCAAGAGTTGGAAGGATTACAGACTTCCATTGCTTATTAGCCGGACGTCTTGAAAAGCTTTAAGAGACAAAACCTTCCATTTTTACAGCATCAGCTTAATGTATCCAGTACTCATTTACATATGTTGATGTACTGACTACAAGACATCAACTAAATTTAGTTTGATATTTGATGTAATAGAAACTACAGCCTAATTAGTCATTTTATTCAGTCTGGGATGAGACGTCCGCTGGCCACTAAAATGTTAGATTAACTTGGCACAAAGCAAATCACGTTCACAGTTCGGATAAATACTCTGAATGGAACGGCAGTATTATTCCCAAAAACGTCAGCGGGATGTTCATTCAAAGGGGCGCATATTTTTAAAAGTGAGCATTGAAAGGGGGAATAACATTTTTAATGGTGTGAAATATACTCGATCTACCTTCTGTAGTGAAAGACCTCCCTGAAGCGAACATAATTTGGACATTAACACCTAAACATATTAAACTGTTACGAAAATGTTATATATATATATATATATATATATATATATATATATATATATATATATATATATATATATATATATATATATATATATATATATAAACATTTAAATCCATACTAAAATAATGTTACCGGCTTTTGATGTATTCAGTTAATTAATATATTGCCGCGATTATTTTGTTGTGGTTATAAACCGCTCATTTAGGCTGAGTTGTTAACGTATCAGGTAGTCGAGTTTTGGATTTTAAATATCTGTCGCTAAATTACACCCTTTACTTCTCTTAATCTGTCGAAAAATGTATAGTACGCAACTTTAAGGATTAAAATAAGTTTGCGTAGTGATCGAGAACTTAAAAGACTAATAAGATAAAACCAGGTGTGTAGAAGATAATTATTCTCTTGAGGACTATGAAAAAGGTGAAAAATAAATTCTAAACATTATGGTGATAAATCATGAAATAAAAAAACATCAAGATAAAATGTTAATAAGCGGTTGGTTGTGTGAAAACTTAGGCATTAAAGTCATAGTTTGATGACACCTCGGTGTGAAGCCATGCATACATGACCCAGCTTTGAAGTGACGAATGGAAACAAGACCATAAATCGACATTAGATGCAGATCTATGGAAACCAGTAACCAACAGATTCCGACACCATTCGTTTGGTCAGGACCCTAGAGCTAATGTATACCACTGGAGTCACAGTCTTCTAACTCCTCTAGGTGAATCCTCCGTATCTACTAACTCGGTCTAAGCGCCAGCAATCCGCGTCCCGTCTCCTTGCCTTACTGTACTACGGCCAGGTCGCGAGAAGGCAACGAGTAGGGTTACTCTGGCAGAGGTTACAAACGCGTAACCAAATGAGCATATCTACAAAGGAAGAGGGCTCTCCACTCTCTGCTGTACCAAACCATCTGGGATGGGGGTAAGATAGTAGACATAAAAATATAACAAGTTTGTATTGATGTATATTTAATACGTGGACTAAAACCCTCAAAAAACCATTGCGAATAAGACGAACGCGAAAATGAAGGATAGTTCAGAATCCCTGTTACTATCTGGCTGTGCATTTCCCACAAATGGACATCAAAAATCGCTTTTGGGAAAGGTCAAAAGATTATAACCAATATAGGAAACAGAAAATAGATAGATTTAACAGGTGAACATTACAGCTACTTGAAAAAATACTGACTGATCCAGTTTACAGGAGTGAATAAACCATCGAGAACCCCGGGGTCACAATATTGATAAAAACTTTTAGACACATTGCTTAGTCCGGGATCGATTAACTTGAAAGATGGTGGATAACATAGTAGCAGACTTTTATGATATGAAAAACATGTAACTTACCTAGTAATTCCTTTTTCTTTGAATTTACTTTTGAGTTAGTATTCAAGCGGCCTGAACACTCAAAGGAAGACTCATTCGCTGATATTTGGAGCTCCAGAAGGTTCGATTCATGACAGTAGGCAATAAATGCGGTTAGCAGGACAAGAAAATCCGATAGTGCTCTGGGTTCTCCAACCATAAGGTCTTCTGGTACAATGTGATCCAAGTCCACTCCTATTTCTTCAGACAATTTGAACACAATAGCCTCGAAGTTTTCTACACATTCGGTCTCAGCGCGACCACGACGAGGCACTAATAATCATAAGAAATGTGTTGGGAACTTACGAATGTCACTACCAAATAAGACAACTGCTAAGTCAAAGACGAAAGCAGGTGTAATTTCATGAATACTCTGAATGTAAGGTTCGACGTTAATTAAGGATAGAGCGTTGTTGGCAAGCTGAGTCAAATCTACTAAATAACATTGGAAGATTACTCAAACAGATATGAAGCATGCCTGATCCACAGTTACAATGTTTTAACCAATCAAACGTCATTTCAACTTGAAAGTCCGACACAAAACAAGCGCAGCGCCTAATTACAAGGACGGGAATCGAGAAGAAGGAAAACAAAGTATTATATAACCTACAAATTGAAATTAATACGTTAAAACTATAAGATTCCATCATTTTGCCTTCTAAAGAAAAGTATTGGATCTCTTTTTAAGCTCTATCCATGTCAACTAACTCCATCGGTCCCAACCGAAGCAGATGATCTCACTTTTGCTTCATTTTCTGCATCTAAATGATCTGGGTATTGGTAATCTGTGTTAATCCGAACGTTTGAGATCCTTCAGAAGCACAATAACAGATAGGCTTCGACTCAGTATCAACGTCAGAAGTTCATTTGTTTCATAGTAGTTTAGATTTACGTTCAATGAAGAAAATGGAAAACAGGCGGTTCCCTCTGGACTTTTATGTGTCACGTTATGAATGATTTAGACTTTTTTCCGACAATTACTGCAAACTGTGAATGCAAGCTTGAATCCTGGCGTTCCCACCCTCTTTGGAATCACATATAGTAATCAGTAACTTCGTTCACTCGGAATTATCAACGCAGTGGAGGCCAGAGTTGGATATAAGTGAGAGCAACTCCTTTACAGTCTGACATTTCGAACTCTATAGGAGTTCGTAAATCCTTCACTTTATTCGAAGAATGTAGATCCAAACTTCTATGTGAACCGTCGTGCGAAATAGATGTGTTCAGTCAAGCTCTCTACTACCTGATTACTGTCAATCGCAGCTTCAATCCCGCCTGTCTCACGAGTTAGTACAGAGTTCTTCATGCATCGATACAGCATACAAAGTGCTATAAGATTTTTTAAATCAAAAACTGTACCATAGTTAAAAATGGAACTAAAAATAACATCGTCGGGACTGACTAAAAGTCGCTTCCTTAAAAAGTGTCCATATGTCCTCCAACTTTGATGAATATACGAACGACGCATTCCTCAAAATCAAGATGAATTTTCGGTTGTCGATAACCACACTGGTTTAAAACAACGCTCTCTAGAAGAATCGTTAGGTTCCCAGAACACTCAAACTGTTACTGTGTGTGGGTTACTTTCACGTCACATGTCTTTTTCTCTGGTTTTCTGTGTCATACATCTCAATGGTTGCACTATAAATGTTCGTGTCGAAGACAATAAGACCCAGGCACAACATTTGAACGTGATAACACTTTTTCACGTGGCATAGAAATATTACCACACTATTTTGAAGGTCGGTTACATTTTACCCCGGGTAAATAATTTTGTCGGACACTTGATAGTTAATGCATACTTATCGTGGATTTCATTTACTATGTATCTTATATAAGTCCCCTGCAATTGATGTTTCTTTATCTTTGGATCATACCCTCGCGTTATAAATTAACACCTTATATCTGAAATACAATATATGCTCATACTCTCTGATCCTATTATGAACATGGTCAGTACTTAATAATAGCTATAAACTGAGATATCCCATTTAGTTAAACGAGCTTTCTACTCACCTAGCTTCAAATTATGGCCAGCAACTAGTCAAAGAGGTATTTCACCAACTTGTAAGTCGACTAAAGTGTCAAAATCTGTAACCCATATGTCTGACTATTCAGTGCCTGACAATCCTTATCTTTGGAACCCCGTGCGTCCTATCCTTATATATTACTACCACTACCTGTTTCTCCATATAAAAACCCTCCTATCTCTTTGTGCGGTATCCCAACAGTAAGACTGTCTAACATACTCACGCTCATCGTAAAGTCAACACAGTTTACCAGACAGAAAGCTTTACTAAGGCCAAATCCGAAATTTCAGAAACATAAGTGTTTAATAGCTTATCTCACACATACGAAGGTACCAAAAGCTATGAGAGTACCCATCACTCTACTCACTCCCTTAAGCCTAGAACCATTCATAAGTGCGGTAATAGTAGGTTTATCAGCCAACACCTCATCTCCATTCCCCAGGATTCCATCTGCAATTACTGTCAAAAACATTTTACTCATCCTTTAGCATCAAACGACCACACAAAAAAATTGTGTACGGTAACAGTTATAACTAATTCCAGTTACATGCAGTAAATCCGTCTAACTTTCACATTGACGCAAGTAGCTATTACAGAACCTACGAGCTTAACTATCAAGGGTATTTTACAACTAACAGTACACTTTACATTCGACCTATACCAGATTTTTTTGGTAGACCGCCCATAGTGACACCTCTGTTGAATCATATAGCTCAAGCCATTTCAGATAACGTGCGGAAAATAAACTTTTTTCTCCTGTTCGGTTTTGATTACAGAGTATTCTCACTGTTTCTTCCCGAGTAAACTCTCCAAGCAACTTCACTAGCTCATTTGATATAACTGCTTCTAACTCTGGCTATCAAAATAACGATCTTTTGAAGGACAACCAACCGCTTACAGCGGGGTTAAGCTTACCTTTTACAAAACAGGTATACAACCCCCCCTTGATTATGGCTCCTTTATCTCCTCAAACATGAATACCACAAATAAGATAAGATTGGAATATTTTTAAAGAAGTTTCACATGCTGACTGCTAGGACGTTACTTTACTCTGGGCTACACATATAAATGTAATCACCTCTCCTTAGAAGCGTTGAGGCACCTTCGGTTAAGGAACAATTTAATATTTCACTAAAAAGCAATACATGAACTCTCATTTCCAACATTCTACCCAACCACGATCCATTACCTAGTCTACAGACTCAGAAACAAGGCATATACACTGTATACTGTGAAGCACCGAAAACCAATGCGTTGTCGGTTTTTTACAGTGCGGTAGAGCTTATTATGGAACAGGTATCCAATAATTATCTGTGACTGTGACACCAAGTTCACCAAGTTCAGAAGAATAAAAACCCTGTTACGTGACTCTAAAGAGTTTTATCAACTATTCCCATACACCAGTGAGTAATTTTATTATGGACAACTTAATATCTAGACAGATCATGAATATAATGTATCCCATTGTCATGAATATGAATATAAACAAACGATAGAACACATGGTCTACAATCTCCCATTATTCTTTGATTATTAGGCATGCTCTTATGCTCCTGCTTCTCAGTGTTAGAATTCCAATCCGTATAATGGTTAAAATTGTATTACTCCTCCTATTTGCCATGTTCTTTTTTCTATTACAATCAGACAAATAACTCACTAATCTCATATATGCTGATCAACTATGGCAGATCATAAGAAGCTCATAATGCCCTAAATTATTTTGAGTTTCTCACTGTTTTGTTTTTTTTGAAAGTTTACAACCCCAAGCTCTTGCATATTCTTTGATCTGCTATTTGTTCTTATCATCCGTAAAACACATATAATCTGACCGATATCTTTTAACTTATATCATTAGTTATCTTCATACCTTTGTGATATACTAAATAGATGTTTAACTCAAAATAAAAAAGATTTAGCTGTCTGATTCGCTTGTGATGTAGAACTAGCAGAGATAGTGTATTCCAACAGTATTTGCAACATGGAGCTTAGATTAAAGCAATATTCATTCATACCACAAAAAGATGAGGGCCTAACATTACAAAAATAGGGAGGTTGACGTTACTGACCAGTAAGCATGATAGTGGGGAGATAACTTCAATTCACTCATGTCTGTAGGGTAGAAAATGTTGTTAAATTACGACTACTGGTGGTCAAGTGGGATACCATGAACTAATGGCAGTGATGCCAAGTATTATGCCAAAAACCTCTTCGACTCATTTCTGTAATTCGGAATTGGTTTCACTTCCTACAGATAAATCCTATTGGAACCGAAACAAGACCATTCACTAAAAATAAATCCTGCCCATGACCCTATAAAATCAATAAAATAAAAATGTGCTGAAATAGCTTCGATAACAATGCGAGATAGACATTTGTGCAGCAGAATACCTTTTACAGTCCTATATTTTAAAACTATATATATCCTTATACTTTCAGCTTCTTTTTAACTACCTCCGATTGTACAGTTCTTTGTCCATTAACACCATACTTCCGCTTGTTTTCTTTAACTATCATAATGCTCTTGCTTAAGAAGTATTTGAATAAAAGAGAGTTAGACTAAATACTCATACCTTAACTATTCCTTCGCAAAGGACTCGATTTCAATAAGCATGAATATTGTCTGCTCTATTTCTTGTCCTTTTTTCTTACCCTCTTTTTCAGTCCCCTCGAGATATGCCACCGAAAACATGTGTGGAACGGGTGACTTCGTCTTGCGCCATCATTAATGCCTCCGATGTTCCGTAGGGATGTAAGGTCACGGTTTTTAAAAGCTCTGAACTTTACGTGGATTTATTCTCGATTATCAGTTGCACGTCGCAATATAATGACAATACGAGTCTTACTAATATTATTAACATTCATATGTGAAATTTTATTCCCCATAATTCTATGACCGTTGTACCTTATAACATATCAACATGAGTAGCTTTTTACAGTGAAGAATGTATCTTCTGTAACTATTTGTTCTTGCCTGTAAACCGGCATGCCCCATGCTATAGACTGTTACTTGAGAATAAATTATTATTAGTCTATTCAGTTGGTATTTTTGTATGTATACTTACTAAAAAACACGTGTGAACGTGTTCGACAGTCACGCTGACATTTTTACTATCGAGAACAACTGTAAAATGTGAAATCCCAGAGAAGTATTCAGTGAATTTAGATTTCTGAGTTCGTAGATCCGTATTTTTCACCAGCTGACTCCGAGATATGAAAACATTTACAGGTGCTGCTGAATGTGGCGAGCTACTAGAAGACTGTTCACATTTAGGACGCTCGTTAGACTATAAAGTCTTAAAATTCTTATTATCCCTTTAGAGAGCTGTAATGGCAAGTCCATTAGTTCTGTAATAGCATTGGTTCCAACCCAAACGACTCTCGGTAATGTATATATAATTAATGAGGATATTTGCATTCAGCGTGTAATACTTGAAGAAGGCAGATAATATTAAACGCAGGAACAAATAATCAAAGTGACATGGCTCGGTAATGCAGGCGCGGTCATTCCATATAACCTCTTGCTTTTTGTACCA